AAAGGAGACCCTGTGTCACAGTAAGTCTGATGAGGTGGTTCTTGTGGGGTGACTGAGTAAACCTTTGTCATGCCAGACTCTCACTTCTCTCTCTCTTTTATAGGCTTTGGAGTTTTTGCAGGAGAATGCCCGAAAATATTACTTTACGCGTACAAAAATGCTTCCAGTCAGTGGGGCTTTTCATACCAGACTTATGGAACCAGCAGTAGAGCCACTGGCTGAAGTCCTAAATTCGATTGAGATTCAGAAACCACTGGTCTGTGTGTATTCCAATGTTGATGGCAAAAAGTACATGCACACAAAGCACATTCAGAAGCTGTTAGCGAAGCAGGTGGTTTCACCTGTTATGTGGGAACAGACCATGCATTCTGTATACGAGAGAAAGCAAGGAACAGAATTTCCTTACACATACGAAGTGGGGCCTGGGAAGCAGCTAGGAGCCGTTCTCAAAAAATGTAATTTAAAGGCCTGGAAACAATATAACCATGTAGATGCTCTGGAAGATGAGGAAGCAGCAGAGACCTAAGTAGCCTTTTGAGAGAAATCCACACAACTTGTTTTTTCTGCCTAGTTTAAAAATAGCATCATGCTCCCAAAAGAGGAAGTCTTAAACATTCATGGCTTCTCATGATGAAAAGAGCACCGTGCGCATAATCGCAGTGAACGTTTCCCTTCCCTGCGTGCCTTGGGCGTGGAAGGGGAGAGCAAAGTCGGGCTCTTCCATCTGTTTCGGGACTGCAAAGCTGCCAATAAACACGCCAAATAGCCTTCTGTTTGGCCTCAATCCTGCAAGCAACTTCCCCTCTCTCCTTTTTTTTTTTTTTTTTTCTTTTTAAAAAATTTTTATGGGGGTGTGGATTCAAGTTAAAGTCAGTAGCTTGGGCAGCCTGGTGCAGGTGTCTTCTGCATGGATACGGGGGTAGAACAAGGCTGCTGGCTCCGGGTTACAGAGGGCTCTGCGCTGGGCTCGAGGGCGCGTTTGGAGAAGCCGTCTGGTTGGTACAGCTTCCGGTACGTTGGTGATCCCGTTTTCGAACTCGACTGACTTGTGGGACATTCCTCTTGTGTAAAATTCTTCTATTTTGTGTCCGTGTTGCCAGGTGGCAGCTGGGTAAGGCAGAAGATGTTGTTAGGAACGTGATTTTCTTGAGGTTAAACTATAAATGAACTATAAAGCTTTTCTTGGTATTTGTAATGCTGTGGGGCACATCATTATTGGCCTGTAGTCCATACATGGATGGAAGTAATTTTCCCTCCGGTTGTCCAGTGCTGCGTTGGTTGTCCTAAGTTATGCAAGAGATGTTTCACTGAAAGAAAAAGCTTACCGAAATTCCCCACCTCCCCAGAGGTGCAGGGCTTTTGTCGTCCCTGACTGAGCCTCTGCGGCCGCGTAGACTGAACTGGCCCTTCAGATGACTTTTCTTGGCAGAGCAGAAAACAGCAGCGCCGGAAACTTTGCAGAAAGATCGTTTCACGGGCACCTTTGGACAGGGTGAATCCTGTGGTAACAGGGTGCCAGGGTGGAGGATTTGAATGCTGATATTTTGGTTGTCTCTCCATTTTTGGCTGTGTTTTGCCAGCTTGTCCGTTTTCCAAGAGCAGGAGATGAGCTGGAGAGTAGCAGGTTGTCCTGAGCTCTCCTGGAAAGAGCTTCCCAGTTCCCTTGTTGGCACCAACTGTTGTTGGATGGGTGAGGGCTGGTGGCCGGTCCTTGGGCTGCCCGGCCAGCCACGGGTAGCACGCCTGCTGCCTGCAGCACCTTCCTCGGGGCCTGTCGTGCTCCAGGTGGAACGGCTTTAGCACCGAGTCCCTGGGTTTGGGGTCTGTAACCAACCCCTTGGTTTATTAAAATCGGTGCAGTCGTATTACATGTCGTGCTGCCTGCGCAAGATACCTGCAGGGTGTGCGGAAAACGTCTGCTCACTTTGTTTGCGCTTTGCCTCCAAGGGGTACTGAAAGCTTTAGGAAATACAGAGAACAGTATGTGCTAGGGGACCGTGTAGAAACAAGCAGGAAAAGGTTATATTGTGCATATTATAGCATGACCAGAAGCTTCTACTGAACTCTAGCTTCCTCCCCCCGCTTTTTTTTCTTTTTGATACATTTAATAGTATGTTTAACAGTTATATAGGAAAACAGAGGATACATTACTTAAATGACCAATGTCTTCAACAATTTATTACGAAATGCAGAATAAATTGCAATTGCAGTATTAATCATTTCATAATATCGCATTTCTGAAAGGGAAAGTGAATTTTAAAATACTGGCCTCAATTATGACTGCTTAGTGAAGTGTATTATTAAATAGCTCTTGTGTGAACTGAAATTGGCAGCTGAGCCTACCTTTACAGTACAAATTCCACTTTTGGCATGTGTAAACATTAACTATTAGTAAAACAGAGAAGAGTTTGTCTGCGTAATCCCTGGACTATTAGAGGCTGTCAATTAGGGGTTGGGATTACTGTAAAGAAAATTTCAGTGAAGGCTGCTACGCTACAGGTAAGGTGTAAGGTGTTAATTATTCAATAAAACGTACCAAAGTTATCACTAGATGGTTAGAATATCTCCGCTAAGTCCCATTCATATTTTTAAGTGCTGAATTATGTGCTGTGTTGTAAGTTTCTGACTACATCTTGTAAGACCAAATGCAACGTTAGTGACTTGGGAACCAGCTTTTATGATAGTTGGAACTGAGCATGGCATGTTGGTGGCACTGAATTTGGTTTTAGTATAGTGCTTTACAGTTTCTGGACTAAAAAAAATATTTAACTTTTTTTCTGTGGAAATTTTGAAGACCTGTTTTCTATTTGTACTGTTCTTACCATAAATATATATTTCTTTTTTTTTTTGGCCTCATTTCACTTTATTGTACTCTTTGCCTGGAATGAAAGCTCTCTGAGAGAAACATGCTAAAAACCTCTGTTTGCAAATGCAGGATACCAGATAACCTTTGCGCCTTCAGCAGACGCAGAGTGCTGAAGGGGGAAGTCTGTGTCCTAAGAGCGTCACACTCTTGTGGGCCCTGTTTCATTAGTGGGAAGAAGGAGCCGTAGCCACCGCGTGGGTGTTGGCTCTCCTCCTGGGCAGCGTTTGAGCCAAAGCCGAGGCAGCAAGCCCTGCATTGCCGAGGGAGCTCCTCGGTGAGCCTCGTGTCTTCAAAACCAGGAGCCGAGTGGTATCGTACTTTTCTGTCGATGTTGCGGTTTGTATTGGGTAAAAAAGTGTGGTGGACATCTTCATACCTCTGTATGGACAGCATTCAGGGCTTGCTTTCGTGTAGCGCCTGGCAGCATGACGTCACGTTCGGTGTATGGCTGTAAATGAGCAGAGGGGTGTCTCGTGTGTTGTAAAACTTGTCTGTGGCCAGGTGGGAGAGCGGCATGCGGAGCAATTAAGAATCCTGGATCTTAGCACTGTTACCTGCATTCCTTTTACGTGCTTACTCATCTATCCCTTCTGCTTCTGGAAACTGAATGCTTAAGACGTGAACAGTCGGCACGGTTCCTTCACCTAGGAACAAGCGGAAACAGGATGTGGAAAAAAAACCCAAAGTGCTGTAAGCTCTGTCACATGAGGAAGTGTGCAGTTAAAAAAAAAAAAAAAAGAGAGAATTAAATTTGGGTCTCCTGAGTCACAGCGCGGAGCCTTAACTAAGAGGCTCTTTGCTCAGCTCCGCAGGTGAGAGGAGCGTCTGGATATTACTGCTCGCTGAGGGATGCCAGTTTCTGCTAATTCTTGCTGTGGATGCTGTTCCCTTTGTGTTTCACTTGCTTTATTGGTGTGATTGCATTTTATATTCCTTGAGACTGTGTTTTCCTCGGTACATGCTGGATGCTGAACTTACCCTCTCTTGTGATTCAAAACGTTACATTATTGATTGCAAGAGCATGAAAAAGCGGAGTCATCCCATGCAGCTCTTGGACAGAAGAGGCAGTGTGGCAGTCTCCCAGTTATCATTGCTCCCCTGTGCATAAGGATTATTTATCTAGAAATAACTGAAATTATTTTGTGGTGTCAATTCACAGCAGTCAATTCACTAATGAAACTTTGGTCTGTTTTTTGGTTATATGGGCAATTCAGCTGGCCAGCTTCTGGCCCGAGTGAGACTAAGGTTCCAGATGTGCTAACCATGCTTTTCGAGGGAAAACTTGCCTCCCTGCTGCTGAAAGGGCAAATTGGCTCGAGGGCATTTTGAAAAAAGGTGACGCTAGAATATGTGCTGCTGCTGCTGCTTGAACTTTCAGGGTACGTTGGAGCCATCACCCTCTACGTACCTTCTTTGCGTGCCTTCTTTTTGCTCTGCATTTCAAGTCGATCAAAGATGTCTCAAAGTCCTTTAACATTAAATGGTCAAACGAAATATTCTAGTTGAACCTTTCTTTTTTTCCCCAGAAGAATTTTTCAAGATGAGCAGTTAGCATCATAATGGGATTTGGGCACCATTCATGAGAGGAAATACATTCCTCAACCTGCTTAAACTTGACTGGGTTTGGCATTTGTCTCCGCTTAAGAAAAGAGTGGTTCAAATTCCTTGTCTGATTTAAACCAGGGACTCGAACTTGAAACTCCAACCTCTCAGATGAATGCTTAAATCTCTAGGCCATTAAATACTGCATTTTCCTGTTTCAAAAGCGCGCTAACCGTAGTAGTCACTTGACTAGGCAGGAAGCAGGTATCCCCTCTGCTGAGGGGAATACCCAAACCACAGAGATGCACTTTCATTTTTCTCTTGCCAAGGGAGAGTCTATAACTGTATACAGTGAAACGCAGCTTCAACAGTAGGGAAGATGCACTCAGATATAGAGAGTAACTTGGTATGGTTGGGGCATGTTGTTGAGAGAGAAGAGACCCAGCTGTGTCCGCTGCCAGTGGGTTATGCCAGGGTGACACCTACACCATCTCCATCCTCTAAGCTGTGCTCAAGTTTTCCTTAGTTATCTATTTCCCCCTTAAGCACATGCCTTCCAAAAAGACATGTGTCATCAAAAAAAAAACCTTTTCCAAATTCAGTCAAATTCTCGGTGTTTTTCTGGGCAACTCAAAGTTTTTCTTGCAGTAAGGAGGCAGAAGGAGGTAAAATCTATTAGTAGATTTCTGAAAAGTTCTGAAGAATAGCTTGGCTTGAGTGGCCCTCAGGTACCAACCCCACCAACTTACTTGCTTGCTAGCTCATCTGAACTGCACTTTTTCCAATAAACTATCATTTCATATGCTAATTTTACTACATAAAAATCAACTAAAGCCTGTCCTGTGGTCTTAAATAACAAAATGTACGAGAGAAGGTACTATTACTAATGTGTGATAGCACAATCTTGGAAAAGAAAGTAGATAATACTGCAAAACATTTGAAGCAACAATTTAATTTTAAAAAAGTATCATGGTTTTAATCTTCACTATTGTTTTTACAGTGTTAAAATTTAAAGGATGTCCAGCATGCCTTCAGTCTTCCCCACATCCAGAATCTCTTCAAGAAACTCGTTTATATGAAATAGACACTTTATATTGCATTAAAACAAACACAAAAAG